ATCTGTGCCCATGGCTGTTGTATGTATTATATATATATATATATATATATATATATATATATATATATATATATATATAATTGTATATATATATATATAATTGTATATATATAAATATATAATTGTATATATATATATATATATAATTGTATATATATATAATTGTATATATATATATAATTGTATATATATATATAATTGTATATATATATATATATATATAATTGTATATACAGGGCCGGCGCAAGTAGGTGTCATGAAGGGGGTGCCATTACAACTTATACCGACTAAAAAAAAAAAAAAAAAGGTCCTTGTTTTCCAAAATTTACCGACTGCCATGACGACATTTGCCGACTGTCTAGATTACCGACTAACCTATATCAAAAGGGTCGACATATGCCAACTAACTGGTCTAAAAGGGTCCAATTTGCCAACTAAGGGTCCAATTTGCTGACTAAAAATCATTAATGGGGGGTGTCACACACACCCGCACCCCCCTACTGCGCCGGCCTTGTGTATATATATATATAACTTTAGCCAAATGCATGCTACTTTGCAAAACCTTTTTTAGAAGATTTTCTGAGATTGATGAATAAAAGTCATTGTTGTCAAAGAAAAAAATTATAACTTATAATTTATAATTTGTAATATATTGGTTTTTTGTACCATAAAATCTTTTATTACGCCTCGTGTAAAGAGTAAAGTTAGTAGCTGTCGAAATATGTAAACTATGGAACAAACTTAACTTTCCAATTATTTCTAAAAAATCAATTGGAAGAAAAATTATAGAATTATTAAAAGATAGGTTATAGAAAAACATGACAAATATCTTAAAAAGCCAGGTGAAAAGGAAGAATGCTCTGTTTTTGGAGATCTTTTTGACATCACCAATATTATGGGCATGTGGCTTAGTCTAGAAGATAAAAAAAATTATAACATACAATGATTAAGTTCAGGAGAAGTTGGTCACAGTTCTAACACACAAATGTCATTACATTTTTCAAAAGTTAGAGTTTGTAATGCAAAAGATACAACTTCAACAAGCAAAGTAAATAATTTTCTAGTTAACAGTTCCTCTGCATCAGAAGAAAGTGATTCAGATTTAGATTCAAAAGACAATAACAAACCAGTAAAAATTAAAAAATCAAGAAAGAGAGTATACAATAGAACCAAGTTAGCTCCTAGTTTTGAACCAAGTTGGCATCTAATCTTGAAAATAAATCAGCTAGAATCTGTAAAAAGTTATGAAAAAGGTATTGAATTAGAAACTCCAAGTCAAACAGATCAACTATAAGGCAAGGGGAAAGAAAGAATAAAATTATTACTAAAATAGTAAAAGAAGAATATTTCTGCCTACATTTTGATGGAAAGAAAATAAACAAGACTGAATACCAAGTTCTGATACTTCAAAATGAGAATAATAAAATCAATTTAGGAATTGTTAAATGTGAAAGTGGAAAATCCCATGCTTTAAAACAAATTACTAAATTGTTTTGATGCATGGCAATGTATTACAATGATTATATGTGACACAGCAGCAGTAAACACAGTAAAATTAAATGGTATAGTTGCAAAAATACAAAATGAAATGGAAACCAGAGACTTTACTAAACCACAATATTCAGGATGTCAGCATCATATACTAGATCTCATTTTAAAACATGTTTTGGATCATTTTGTAAATTATAAATCAATAATTCCTGGTTTGAAAATCTTCAAAAAAATTATACTTATGAAGCTGAGCCTAATTATTACATAAACCTAGGATAGCAAGATGACTTTAAATTCCTTTATGAGTTATGTGAAGCTTTTTGTTGCTTCAAAAATCAAAAAAGATTACTAAAAATTAGGTGGCATAAGCTTCCTCCATTGCACAGTGCAAGATGGAACTCTAGAGCATCATATATTCTTATTGCCTATTTTCTTACCAACATGGAGGTGTGAACTTGAAAGTGCAGCAACCTTTATTCCAAATCCGTGGAAAAAACCAAAGTTTAGCAAACAATTATTTGATGATAAATTGTATAACCATATGCCAAATGGATTTACTAAACTTAAGTGTACAGCTGCTTTAAAGTGCTTTATGAAACACTGAAGCAAATTAGATAGTGCACTTCATATTCCAAGGACAAACATCATTGCTGAAAATGGTGTTAAAGTGATGGAAAATCTCCTTAAAAATTCAAAAATGGGAATATGCAAATGTGAAATTTATTAGAAAGAATGACCTATGAAGCATCTAACTTGCAGAAAGTTATTATTTTTATTGATCCACTTAAGTGACATGTAGTTTTTAAGTACTAAATATAATTTACAGTTTGTTTTATTTATTTTTGTGGCTGTTTATAAATGTGTATAAAATATGCTTGACATGTCCTTATGTAATATATAAAAAAATCATATTTTTAACTAGGGGTTGGGGAAGTTTTTTGCAACTAGACAGTCAATAAACCAGTTTTTTATCAATTACTCAACATTTCTCTTGTTATAGAAGTACGCCCAACAGATTCAAAAAATGTCATAACCCTTTATGTACAATATATGAACTAACTTTTATGATAACATAATAGTAATAAATGTCTATTGGATTTAGAAGTTGAATGTATAGTACAGATGTATCTTAGACTCCTATAAAAAGTTAATTAATTTGGAAATTAGAATAAGCTAACTGTTACAGAAAATTTAGTATAAACAAACAATATAACATATATATAATAGAAAAATATATTGGAATGTATTGTAAAATATATTGGATGTATCTTAGATTCCTATAAAAAGTTAATTAATTTGGAAATTAGAATAAGCTTACTCTTATAGAAAATGATAATATAAATAAACAATATAACGTATATATAAATATATATAAAAGAATAATATATTGGAAATAATAAAACAGTAATAAATTTGGACATAATTTCTTTTTCACTTTTTATACTTTTCCAGAGCTGAGAGGGTCATACAGTCAGGGAAACTGCTCACTTTTTTTATTATTAATTGTTACAAATATAAAAATACTAAGAAAAGACAACAATACCTTGCATTTATGACATGTTTGACGACTTGGAAAGTTATCATAAGAGCATTGGCTGCAAATCCAGTTTGATCCTCCTCCACTTTGTAAATTTCCTCCTCTCTGTACACTTCCTCCTCCTCTTTGTCCACTTCCTCCTCCTCTGTTTCCATTTCTTCCCCCTCTGTTTCCACTTCCTCCTCCTATGTTTCCACTTCCTCCTCTTCTGTTTCCACTTCCTCCTCCTATGTTTCCACTTCCTCCACCGATGTTTCCACTTCCTCTTCCTTTGTTTTCGCTTCCTCTCCCAGGCTTCATTTAAATTATTATTTAAACTTGTGTGAGGAAAAACTGTAAAAAAAATTATTACTTAAAAACAATAAAATTATATATATACATATATATATATATATATATATATATATATATATATATATATATATATATATATATATATATATATATATATATAAATAAAAAATCTTACTATTTACATTACCTGACCACACTGCTCTTCATCAGACTCAATCATTTTTAATGAATAAAATTTTATGTAACATAACAGTTTATGTAAAACCAGAGTCCTATTTTTTTGTTTTAATATTGAACAAAAGCTTGTACAATGTAAAAAAACAAGTCTCTGGACACATATCTATATATGTATTTACATATGTATTTAATCTGGTCACATTTATATATTTAAGTTTTTGCTCCTGCCTAACCAAAAGTGGGTTGGGGAGGGTCCGAAAAATTCTATTTTGCATCCTCTTCACAACTTAATAAGTAATCATTATCACTAAAACCTTTGTTTCTTTTGAAAATTAATTGTATGCATTTAGATAAGCAAATACAAAGTTCAGGAGCAGATCCAGCTTTTTTTGTAACTTGAGATAACTAACTTTCAGACATGGAACAAACTCAAAATATTTATATGTTTATATTTATATCAAATAAGGATGCTTTGCAAAAAATTGCCCAAACGTGAGAGCAACAAATTGGCAAAAAACTTTTTTTCGATTTTTAACTAAAGTTATACTTATCAATAAATTTTAAATTTCATAAGATAATCATCTCTTAGAGTTAAAAATTATGACTTTATAAAATTTAAATCCCTCTCATCTTGAGGGGGTTACAAATTTTATATGGTCATAAGTTTTAAATGCTAAAAGATTTTTTTATAAAATTTAAAATTTATCGCTGAATAAAAATTAAGTTATGAATAGTAAAAAAAATATTTTGCCAACTTGTTACTCTCACATTTGGGGCAGGAGTGGCCAAAATTTTAAAGCTTTTTTGGTTCCCAGGCTCCAATCATCCCAATTTTTTGCAAAGTATTTTTAATTGACATAACTATAAACATATAAATGTTTGGTGTTTGCTCCAGTCAAAATATCTCAAACACCAAAAAAAGCTGGATCCGCCCCTGAAGTTATGACCTTAATATTGAGAAGGAAGGGACAACTATAACTTTCTGAAGCCAATAAAAAAATAAAATAGAAAAAAAAGCCATAGAAAATTAAAATAGGAATCCAACATTTTAAATAAAAATTAACATTTTCTCAAATAATTTACGTTTTTAGTATATTAGAGGGAGTTGTAAATTTTTCTCCTTCTTAAGATCTTTCTTTTGATACCAACTTGTAAACGCTTAGAGAAAAAATGACTTAGTTATGACATTTTAAGTTGAGAAAAACACAAAATTTGATGAATAATTTTATGCATATTACAAGTTTATTACTTTATACGTCTTAACTTTTTGTAAAACTGTTCGATGTTCATAATTTTTAACCATTAAAATAATGTATTTAAACGCCTTTCTAAAAATATTTTTTTAGTATTTAATCAAATTTAAAGTTTTGTGTTACATACCAAGTATTGTGAGATGTTACTAGAAAAAATATCGTACACCAAATATTAAAAAATGTTAAAAGTACAATATAAGGTATAAAAATAAGACGCAAAATTAACGTTCTAAAACTTTAAACTTACATTTTATATATACGCACAACTAGATTTGCTAATAATGTTTCAGGGCGTTTGTTATTTACAATTATCGTTTACAAATAGTAAATTAATATAACTAAAGGCTATAATTTAAATAAATATATATTTATGTAATAAAATTTTTAATTTAAATTTTAAATACTTTTTTATTATTGCAAAGCCATAAGTTTTTTGTTTAAAAAAAAAAAATTAATTTGAAACTCCCTATTAATCTATTTAAAAGATTTCTTAGAAATTTACGTAGTTTTATGTTCTCCTTCACAAAACTCTTTGTATAATCGGTTGACGCAACTTTCGACCATTTAAACTGATAGACACGCTTTACCGTAAGTTAATACTCGCAAAGTTTTATATGGTTAAAGGTTGCACCTATTATATTATACATTATTTAAATATTAATTACATTAATTATTTATTAAAATACATTATTTAATATTAATTAAATTTAAACTTGAATGCGCTTATAAAGATATTAGGCCGGGTAAATAAAACAAAGCAAATGCTTTTACTTAGTAATTGGTCAACTTTACGTAAATAAAAACTAAAAAAATTTTTATTAGGTTTTTTTTACGTAAAGCTGAGCAATTACTGAGTAAATTGCTTAACTTTACGTGATAAAAAATTTGAGACAAATTGTTAAAGTTTTTGTTCACGTAAAGCTGACCAATTACTGAGTAAAAGCAAGGCGTACTTAAATAACAGGCCTTCTCATCGCGCAACGGCTTAAAAAATGTGGAGGCTAATTTAGTTAGCGGCAAAAGTTACTACGGATAACTTGTATCCCTACCAGAAGACTTAAAAATGCCCAGAAAATGTTGTGTTACTGGTTGTAACTCTAACTATGACTCAGTAAAAGATAAGACAACTACTTTCAGATTACCGAGAAATCCAGTAGAGCGTCTAAGATGGATTAAAGCAATCCCAAGAGAAAATATACCAGACAAACATGACACTGTAGTTTGTGCAAAACATTTTCCACCAAACTTCCAAGTTATTAAAGTAAAAGGAAGAGAAAGACCTCGAGATCCACCTAGTGTATTCGAACAAATACCCAAGAGTTTAGTGCCAACTCCTCCACTAGAAAAAAGAACAACAACAAAATCCAAAAGCTCTGTAAGATCAATAAAAGAAGATGAACTTTCAAAATTCGAAGAGCCTTACAAAATTGATTCATTCGAAAATTTTTGTAATTCGTTATCTCTAGAAAAACTTAATGATTCAGTTGTTTATTATAATTGTTTAAATAGCTGTTGTATTCAATCAAAAGAGCATGAAAACAATACTGGTATTAATAAATTTTGTTTAATAGTATTTAATGACTTATCATATGAAGCCTATCATGCTGGAGTAAGATGCACTATTGCTTCCTTAGTTAAAAATCGTATTCATAAGTTCAAATGTTGGTCGCAAGTTCATGAGGCATTACGATATTTGATTTCCTTTGAAAAGTCAGAAAAGAAAACAGTTTTAATTCAGCAATTTGAATGCATGAGTAACATGAACTCAAGTAATATTCTTAAGCAAAAATATTCGCCTGAAGTAATTGTTCGAGCTTTTGAGTATTTTGCACAGTCACTTAGTTTATACAATCAATTAAGAAATGATTTTCAACTTCCTAGTATTGCTACCCTTACACGTTTAACTTCAAAAGTTTCACACTTTGATGATAATACTTTTATTTGTAGTGTTTTTTCAAAACTCAACAATGGTCAAAAATAATGTATACTATTATTAGATGAAGTTTATGTTAAACCTATGCTAACTTATCATGGAGGACAGTTGTTTGGTAAAGCAGTAAATGATGAATCAAATCTTGCAAAAACTGTATTGGCTTTCATGGTTGTATGTTTTTATGGAGGACCAAAATTTTTAGTTAAAATGTTACCAGTAAATAATTTAGATCCAGATTTTTTATATGATCAAACTATTATCTTAATCAACCAAATTACGAAGGCAAATGGAAAAGTTATTGCTTTAATTAATGATAATAATAGAGTAAATCAAGCATTTTTCAAACGATTTGATTGCATATTTCCATGGTTAACAACTGATGGCATTTTTTTACTCTTTGATTTTGTGCATTTAATAAAGTGTATACGAAACAATTGGATAACTGAAAAGTCTGGTGAAATTGAGTTTAGTTATAGAGAAAAAAAATATAATGCTAAATGGGATCACATCAAAAAGCTTCAAAAGTTAGAAGAAGGTGAATTGGTTAAAATGTCTAAGTTGACTTATGTTGCTGTTAACCCAAGGCCAATTGAGAGACAAAAAGTTGATACATGTTTAAAAGTTTTTTGTGAAGAGACTATAAATGCATTAGTGTCATCAAGGTATGAAAGATGATGATATTGATGGAACTATTATTTTTTTAACTAAGGTGGTTCAATTTTGGAAAATAGTCAACGTTAAAAGTCCATCCGAAGAAATCCATTTGAAAGACAACTTACGAGCTCCCATATCATATGTTGATGATTTACGATTAAATGATTTAATTGAGTTTTCTGAAATGTTAAAGCCAACATTGATTCAAGGAAAAAGAATTAGTAGTATAACCATGGATACAAGCAATGCATTATATCAAACTTGTAATGGTTTAGTTGAACTAAGTAAGCATTTGTTAGACAATTCTCAATTGTATGTACTGCTTGGGAATTTTACAACAGACCCCATAGAAAGAGCATTTGGAAAACTCAGACAAGGTAGTGGGGGAACTTATTTTATAAATACTCAACAAGTAATTGAAAAGTGGAATATCAACAAAACCAAACTATTTCTTCAGAAAACTATCAACATTTCAAGTGCTGAGTTTACATCTGCTCATACTTGTGATAATTGTTTTTATAAACTTTCAGAAGATGAGTGTGAGATGTTTAATCATTTACATGAACTTTTAGACCAACTTTCATCGAATATTAAGTCATCTTTAGTTTACATTGCAGGTTATATTTCTAGAAAAGACAATGAAGATGATAACGATGACACTTATCTGTATTATAGTAATTATGGAAATTTTACATCTGCCTTAGATCGTGGTGGTCTGAAAATACCCAGTGATACATTTTGTGAATGGGTATTCTTAAGTTACATTTTGTTTAATTTTGTTGGCACATCAAACTTTTGTAGATATTCTATGTCCTGCTTATTCATGGATATTGCATGTATTTATGGTTTCACCATAATTACAAGAAACCATTGTTATATTCTTACAAATATATTATTTAACAATTTTTGCTATATGCATTCACCTGCATCAGACAAGGAAACCAAAGTTAAAGCTTTAAAACTGTTTTGTTAGCTTTTGTGAATAAATATACCATAAAAAGTTTCCAATTTAACTTTAGATGATATTTCGTTTAAAAATTGTTAATTTATATTTTTACTTTTTAATTCTTTCTGTTAATGTTTTATTGTATGCAAATACATAGAAGTAGCTTGGTTATCTTTTGTTATTGTTATTTTTGAACTTACAAGGTGTTGTTTTTTTTTTACTTTCTTGACAAAATAACAATTATTTTTGTTTTATAAACGTTTTTGTAATAAAAATATCGACTTCTTTATAAAATGATAAAATATTATTTAGTAAAAAATGGCATGGTTTAAGCCTTACATTCTTCTTATCCTTAGTTTTTTATTTAATCAGGTTATGCATTTAGAGAAATAGACTAAAATAATCAAATCACAAGCTCCTACTATATTGTTAAAAGAATTTTTAAATATTTAAAACTTAAAAAAAAAATTGTTTAATAGTTGAGAGCATCAAAACCAAATCAGCCTCCGCATTTTTCAAGCCGTTGCGCGATGAGAAGGCCTGTTATTTAAGTACGCCTTGAGTAAAAGCAATTGCTAATTTTCATCATAGTCATAAGAAATAGATAGTCTGGTCACTCGGGCTGTATTAAGTGATTTTTCTAATATTCATTAAAAACACTTGAAAACTGTCGAACGGCCAGCAACAGAGTGCACAAAGTATGGAAACGTATAAAGAGTTAAATGGTGAATTTGATATTGAAACATTGTTTTCTTAAAAGAATGATTTTCTTTTTGCAGACGAAAATTTTAATAAAGTTTTAGACGCCTTGGTGTTGGAGAGTGAACCTGTAAAAAGCGCATTTTCTTGCACAATTTGCTTTAAAAAGTGCATATCTCAAAGAGACCTTACAAGGCATACAAATTCAAAACATCAAAGTACCGTAAGATTGGGTGGCTTTGGCCCATTTTGCATCTTAATGTCTAATGCATGAAAGCCACAAAAGTTATTTCCTCAAACACTAAGTACTTTTAGAAGTGCATAGAAAGGACAGTTAGAACTATCTGTTTCCCATTTGAAAATTATTTACGTGAAGTATCTTTTGGGTGGTTTAAATGGTGGGCCAAAATCACCCTATGTGTTAGGGTGACTTTGGCCCAACCTTGAAAAAAGGAACTAAAGGAAGCAAAACTACAATAAAAACAACAGTATTTAGGCAAAGAAAATAAATTTACAAAAATAAAATGACAAAAAAAGATTTAGTAACAAAGTTCTTGTATACAGTAAATAAAATATAGGTACAAACTAAACAAGTATAGGTACCAAGTAAACAAAACAGTTTAGGTATAAAGTAAACATAAATGAAAAAAATAATGTTTTGAAAAATTTAGTGAAAAAGTTCTGGAACTGAATTAATTCCTCTTTTCGAAATTTTCTTTGGTTCCTCAATAAAATCGACTATATTAGACTGGTGGAAAAAAGTTGCTCTGCTGGTAGTGACTATTTCCAGTTAAGTCCATTTTTTTTCATAATAGTAATTTCTGCTCCATTTTTTTTTTAATTTTTTCAACTGCAGAAAAAAAAAATTTGAAAGTTTTTTTAAAATTTTTCAGTAGTTTCATTAAATAATATTAGGTTTTAAATTAATTAGTTATAAACTTTACTAATTGATTAGCTAAATATAAATAAATCAAAATAAATAAACAAAACTGTCCAGGATTTAACTCTTCATCGCA